CTGGGGTTGATGAGTTCCCTCCCCTCTCGACTTGTATGGCTGCATGACCCTTGCTTATTTTAATTATCTGTATTTTGTTGTATGTTCCCCCTTTTCCCCTTTTTGAATTGTTCACCGCTCTGAGTCCTTCCCGGAGAAGGGCGGCATACAAATAATAAAATTCAATTCAATTCAACTTGTAAATGTCACATGGCCATTTATAAGAACTCAATGCCTTCCAGATGTTAGAACAGAGTTTCTCGAACGTGCTACTGTTAAGATAGGTGGTCCAACTTCCAGAATTCCCCAGCCCAGGAATTCAGCTGACTAGCTTGGCATATTGGTGTTGACTTACAACAGGAATGTTGCAGATTATACATCTTTCTTATACCCAGTGAGTGGTGAGGAGAACATCAATGGGAGACATTATGGAAGCCAGTTGGTTCTCCTAGAAAAAGGTCAAGAGCAAATGGAAACAAGGCAAAAAATAAATAAAGCGCTCTCTGATGTTCTTCTCCAGATTTCATGTGGAATTTGCCTATGGGCAATTCAAGGGGGCTAATATCCCTCTGAAATTCAAGCTCCACTTCGAGAGGACGCCAGCTTCTTCCAACAGCCCCATCCTGACTTTCAACAGCTTTGTAAATCAACAGTGGGGGAAAGAAATCCGGATGGCGACCCACTTGCAGCCAGCCCAAAAGTTCAAGCTTTCTTTCGTCGTCACCAGCAAAAGTTACAAGGTGATGGGATGAATTGATTGTCTTCCTTGATGACTTGTCTAAATACAGGGTTGGCACAATAGAAGTATAGACTGGGTGTGGGTGAGGTGCAGCAATATTGGAAGTCAAAACCATTTGGGACTTTAGCATTTAGGGTGAGGATAATGAAGTCCAGAAAGATTGGGATTCAATAGAAAAGCATTCTCCAATCTGTGTCATCCAGATGCCCCTCGGCCAGCCTGGCTGGCAAATGTGAGCGTATCTGGAGGACATCGTCATAATTCTCACAACATCCAGCTCAGCTTGGTTAGCAAAGACAGTTGTGTCCCTACAGCTGGGCCAGATGTTGCACACTTCCCTAAGAGGACCGGTTCTAATCTTCACCCAATCTAATGATTGAAGGACCAGGACTACGTCCTTAAAAAAAATGTCAGAAAATCTGTTTCCTAGCTTATGAATCCCTTATGAAAGGGGTTGTGAGGACAGGTGCAAAGGGTTTTCTTGATGGTCAACAGCTATAATAAGCTGTATGAAAACTCTGGGTGGAAGCATCTTCTATCTTTTAATTCCAGACATTAAGATGAATTTGTGAGCCAGAATTGCAGTGCTTAGAAGTCTATTTCTTAGCAAGAGTTTCCAGTTGGTCTTACAGAGGCCTGCAACATGCTGGTTTCACATCCAAGGCCTGACCTTACTTAACTATAAAGTCCAGAAGAGATTATAAAACCTTCTCTTCACCATCAGCAAGTTTGGCGGGGGAAATCACACTCCTGATACAATTGGAGATTGATTTATGCTTTGCTGCCTTTTTCTTTTGCCAGATAATGGAGAACGACATTTTGCTTTCCGAATTTGACCATCGCATTTCACCCAAGGCCATCCGTTTCCTGGGAATGGATGGAGACATCAAGCTTGAGAAAGTAGCCTTCAGCTGGGAGAGGAACAATGAAACCAGCAATCCTAAAGCTTGGTGAAGCCTGACCAGAGGAAGAATCATGCAAATCAAATCAGGCATTCAGGCTATTTTACAAGTTGATTTTTGCAGGCAACATCAAGGACTATCCTGCCGTCATTCTGAGGTGGCGCCATAAATCTCTTAGACAGCCTATCTTGGTGAATTAAAGGAAACAAGAGTTATTGTCACTGCTTTTTATTTGGAACTGCAAAAATAAATGTTATTTGGATTTTCTGACTCCTACTGCACCCTTTGGGAGTGTCCCAAGGGCGAGGCCAGAGAAAAAGTCAAGGTGACACAGAGACACATAAAAACAGGGACAGCTTCAATTTTCTGTCACCTGAACTTGTTCTTCCTCATCCACACCCAGAACCATCAAATTAAAACTTTGGTCGCCTGTCAAATCAATCATAAAAACAACACTGTTCTTACATGTACGAACACCATTACTTAGGAGTTATGTGTCGGTCAGGGAATTTTGGAAGACAACCAGATCCTGCATTGCTTTAGGATTAGAGTCCAAGTGGATTAAAAATTCTCCACCTTGTACCATTTCCCACAAACTTGGGAAGAAATTCCAGGCCAAAGATGAACCAGGGAAACAAAACTTTACTGAGAAATATTTATAAATGGATTTTTTTCCCTAGCAGCTTTTACTGTATCAATCGTATTTCAGACAAGTACTGCTAGAAAAGGACAGGAAGTGAATAAATAATAGACAATAAAATATTGCTGGTTATTTTTGATTCAGCCACCTAAATCCATACTGGATTGGTCCCTGAAACTCTTTTCCAGTCAAACTGGTTTATGGGCCATGCATGCTATGACAAAAACATGTGATTAGTGGAAGACAAAATTGTCACGCACCTATACTGGATTAAGGAGATTTCTCAGAAACATTTCCCAACCTTTTCCCTTAATCAACAGAAAATTCTTGCGGTTTGTCTTTCCAACGGAGTCTCAAGTCTTTTCCAGTCCACCTATAACAGCTTCCTTCTCTCCAATCATTTACTGAATGAATGAACGGCACTTTTATTTAAAAAAAAAAAACCCTCAGCACAATGCATAATTGCACAAGGTTCTCCGGAGGAGAACATATACTCAGGTAGGAGTACAAAAATAAACCTATTTATTACACACAGCCATTCATCCTACCATTCACCTGGGATGAACTGTTTTGGGTGGCCGAAACCCTCCCCCCAAAAAGCTACTTTCAACCCATTGTCAAAATATTGACGGCCGCACCCTTTAGCCACGTGATCAGAGCTTGGCAACTGGCTTAAATTTACAGCCATTTGCAGCATCCCGTTGTGATATAACTGATTTTTTATTTTATTTTTGGGCTCGTTTCCAGTATTTATTCCAGTTACACACACACACACACACACACACACACAAACGCATTGGATAAAATTGATTCAGTTAACCGTGCCATCTGCTGAACCACCACTGCAAAAAGATCAGTGCCTGTTCACGTAATGCCTTGACTCGTGACCCGACAAAAGCGTGCCCAACAACAGCGCACCGACAAAACTGCGTTGATAAAACCGCGACGTCGATAGCGCACCCACAAAGGCGCGCCGACAAGAGTGCCAACAGAAGCGCCATTACGGTTAAGGTAAGGGTAAGGGTTAGGTTCAGGGTTACCTTTAGGGTTAGGTTAAGAGCGCGCTTCTGTCTCGTGCTGTTGTTGGTGCGCTTCTGTCCTCATTCTTCGGCGCGGTTTTGAACTTGCGCTTTTGTCCAACAAAAACTTGCGGTTTTGTTGGCGCGCTTTTGTCAAGTGTGCATTTGTCAGTGAACCGCCTTGACTTATGACCATAACATCAGGCTCAACTACGGTCGTAAATTATCTGGAGTCGAATCTACTGGTGATGGGAGGTGGTCGGCTTCCCTTCACTCAGGATGCCGTCTACCATGGACGATGTCTCTGATTTCCTAAACTCCGGATCAAAGCAGCTTCCTAATAAACCAGGTCGGGGAACGGTTTTGGAAAACGAACGCTGGGGTCAGCATGGATCACAGGTTTGGCAGGTAGATAAACCTGGGCTAAGCTGGACTCCACTTAATTAAATCTTTCTAACGTGAGAAAAAAGCAACTACGTACAGGTGAGCTGTTACAGTCAGACTTCAGCTTATCCAGAATGCAGCCGCGCGAGCAATTGTGGGTGCACCTCGGTACACCCACATTACGCCTATCCTCTGCGAGCTGCTCTGGCGGCCTGTTGGGCTCCAAACGCGCTTCAAGGGTCTAGTCGTTACTTTTAATGCCCTACATGGTATTGGACCTGGGTATTTGAGA